GGGCGGCCGAGCTCGATGAAGACGGCGGCGGCTCGCGGTAGGAGGCGGCGCAGGCGGCTCGGGCCGTCGGGGGCTCTCCCCGGGCCGAGCGGGCCGCGGCGGGAGGTGGACGGCGGCGGCCACGTGGCGGTGAGCCACTGGCTGTGGGCGGCGGCGGGAGAGATCCGGACATTGTCCGGCTCGTCCGGACACGTCCGGTGCGGCGGGGAGAGGATTTTTTTAGGGTTTCGAGAGGGGATCCGCGAATTTGGAATGGGGGTGTATATATAGGCATAGGGGGAGCTAGGAGAGTCCAAATGAGGTGCAGTTTTCGGCCACGTGATCGTGATCGAACGCTCTAGGACATGGAGCAGAGTTTGGTGGGTTTTGGGCCAAATTGGAGGGGTGTTGGGCTGCGACACACACGAGGCCTTTTCGGTCCCTCGCTTAACCGTTGGAGTACCAAACGAAGTCCAAATGGTACGAAACTTGACAGGCGGTCTACCGGTAGTAAACCAAGGCCGCTTGGCAAGTCTCGGTCCAATCCAGAAATGTTTAATCCCCACACACGAAAGAATGCTAGAAAAGGCCACCGGAGGAGAACGAAGCGCCGGAATGCAAAACGGACAACGGGGAAAATGCTCGAATGCATGAGATGAACACGTATGCAAATGTAGTGCACATGATGACATGATATGAGATGCATGACAACGACAACAACACACGGAGACAAAAACCCGAACCCGAGAAAATAAATATAACTTAACGCCGGAAACGGCAAGAGTTGGAGTACAAATTGGGAAAGTTACATCCGGGGTGTTATAGCTGGAAAAGCTTTAATCAAGGCGAACTATCAAGGGGTTCCCATTATAACCCAACCGCGCAAGGAACGCAAAATCCGGGAACATAACACCGATATGACGGAAACTAGGGCGGCAAGAGTGGAACAAAACACTAGGCGAGAGGCCGAGCCTTCCACCCTTTACCAAGCATATAGATGCATTAAGATAGCATGGCAATATAATGATATCCCAACAAGTAAATAATGTTCCAACAAGGAACGGTCTCCAATCTTCACCTGCAACTAGCAACGCTATAAGAGGGGCTGAGCAAAGCGGTAACATAGCCAATCAACGGTTTGCTAGGACATGGTTGGTTAGAGGTTTGACATGGCAATTTGGGAGGCATGGTGAGCAAGTGGTAGGCATCGTAGCATAGGCATCGTAGCATAGGCATAGCAAAAGAGCGATCATCTAGCAAAGCAAAGATAGTAGTGATTTCGAGGGTATGATCATCTTGCCTGCAAAGTTGTCAGAGTTGACTGGATCCTCGAAAGCAAACTCAACGGGCTCCTCATTAGCGAACTCGTCTCCCGGCTCTACCCAAACAAGACAAACAAGCAACAAAGACACAATCAACCACGTGCAAAGCTCAAACAATATGATGCAAATATGGTATGCTATGCGGGATGAATATGTGATGCATATGCAAGATTTGACAAGGAATGCATGAACCTAGCCTCAACTTGGAAATCCAAGTGTGCCACTGGAAAGATGGGATGAAATCACTTGAAAACGATATAAAGAACGCCTGAATCGGAGTTACGGTTTGGAAATGGCAAGCGATTCAAATATGACCACGTTCTACGATTTATAGCAAGTAGCCATCTAAATGCAACAAGATGAACATGCTACAGCACTCAAACATGGCATCAAAATACATGGCAGGAATCCATTCATGAAGCTTAACAAAAGTCTAGCACTGAGCTACGGCCAATTCATCCATTAACAGGTTCAAACAAGCATGGCAAAAATGCATTTGGTAAACAGATTTCAGACTTAGTGAAATTAACACTTGTCTGGAATTTCAGATCAGATAGCACTCTTTGGAGCATGAAAACAATATGCTACAGGAACTGAACATGGCAAAGTAAAGCATGGCATGGAGCTACTCAAAGAGCTTAACAAAAGTACCTTAGTGACCTTGAGCCAAAAGGGATCAGAAAATACATTTGCAAGCATGCGAACATGGCAAAAACATAATCAGTTCTCAGACTTGGTGAAAACTGGAGCATGCTAAACAGATATCAAGTAGGCATGTTTACGAGCTCGATGCACTCACTACAGAGCAAGTCATGACAATATAAGCATACACCCATCAGGAATACACAAAATGCAAGCTAAACATGGCAAGAACAATAACATAGCATTCACGGATCAACTACAACATCCTCGGCAAAATTGCTAACAAGTAGACAATCTGCCCAGATTCACGAAATGACAAAAGTAGAGCTCGATTGACTCAAGCTAGGGTGCTCCATAATTACAAACAAAGACATGGATGGATAGAGCACTATAAGATTAACAAAACATCCTTACTGGTCATCCTCAAAAGAGGCACGGATCACTAGGAAACAACATGAACATATGGCCATATGAGATAAACAGGTCAAGGACTTAGTGGAAATGCTAAGTCCCTGAAATCAGCATTAACAAATGCACCACTTTGCAAACTTGTGCTAGTCACCACACACATCACAAAAATATATGGGTAGCACCTATGGATAGATGGCAAAACATATAACAAAACACATGTAGAGCTCATGGGCATATCGTGCACACAATAATCATGGCAAAAAAGACAAATATCTATTTGGAGCAGCAGATCTGACAATTATCTCAAATAGCATTCTTCTAACAGCATTTCGGGCATCAGGATGAACTCAAATGAAAATGATGCAATGAGATGAAATGATGTACTCTTTGAGATGAACATTTTGATATGCTACACGCACGAATTGGAGCTACGATGATGAAGTTAAGGCATGTCAAAGATAGCAAAATATTTAGGGTTGGGAATGAAAAAGTCAACCCCTTCGTTCAGATCCAGATCCGGCGGTACTGTAGCACGCACGGAGTCCGATGTTCGCCAGTCAGAGATGGGGTCGCCGGAGAGAGGAGGCCGGCCGGACGGCGAGGTAGCGGAGGGCGGCGCCGGACTTGTCGGATCCCGCCGCGAAGGGCGGCGAGGAGCGCGGAGTCGGTGGCGCGGAACACGGAGCAGGATGGCGCCGGTGCGGGGCGGCGGCGTGCCGGCGTCGAGGCGGCGGGGCGGAGCAGGCGGCGGCCGGAGAAGGAGAGGCGACGGCGCGGTGAGGCAGCGCCCCTCGGGCGAGGTGGCGGCGCCCTGGGCCGCGGGGGTCCCGAGCAGGCTCGGCGGGCCTCGCACGGGAGGCGGCCGGCGTTGCCACGTGGCGGCCGGTGACAGGTGCGGGCGAAGTGTCCGATGGCGGCGGACGTTGTCCGGCCGCGCGGAGGTGCGGGACTAGGGTTTAGGGTGGTTTTGGATCCGAAATATCGGGGAGGGGATATTTATAGAGGTAGGAGCTAGAAGTGTCCAAAAAAGGTGCGGTTTTCAGCCACGCGATCGTGATCGAACGCTCTAGATGATGGAGATGGTTTTGGTGGGTTTTGGGCCAAATTAGAGGGGTGTTGGGCTGCAACACACACGAGGCCTTTTCGGTCCCTCGGTTAACCGTTGGAGCATCAAATAAAGTCCAAATGGTACGAAACTTGACAGGCGGTCTACCGGTAGTAAACCAAGGCCGCTTGGCAAGTCTCGGTCCAATCCGGAAATATTTAATCTCCACGCATGAAAGAAAGGTAGAAATGACCACTGGAGGAGAAGGAAGCGCCGGAATGCAAAACGAACAACGGATAAAATGCTCGAATGCATGAGATGAACACGTATGCAAAAGCAATGCATATGATGACATGATATGAGATGCATGACAACGACAACAACACACAGGGACAAAAACCCGAACCCGAAAAAATAAAATAACTTAAGGCCGGAAACGGCAAGAGTTGAAATACATATTGGGTAAATCACATCCGAAGTGTTACAAGGGTATAGGATGGCTCCACCATGCCTAAACCTTGTGGGTGCCGTTCCAAAAACCGACGCCACGCCGCCTCCTAGCAAGATGAGATGCCAGCACCATCTCTAGGGTCGTCACCTACATCCGAGCCCCGCCGTGTAATTATGGACGAAGGATCCCTTCCCTATTGAACTACCTATTCACCTTAGCGTAGCCCACCGAGAATTGATGCTAAAAAAACCAACGCCATACTTGAGTTGGTGGTAAAGATCATAAGATTGGGGAAATGATATCTGGGAAACGTTTCATGGATGAAGGTCCAGGGAATGATTTCACATTTGTCTGCGCGGTGGCAATTTTTTGACAGAAAATGCCTTTTAAGCCCAAAAACTGTCATCCTCTTCTAGAAAAATGCCATTTCTATATAACTAAAACTGCTAGGGAAAACATTCATAAAGGTCATCCCTTCATGAGAAAAGTTCGCCAGCTATTAGGGTCCTGAAATTATGGCCATGACGTTTAAGAATATGAATTCAGGCCTGCACTATATTTACCTACTATATGTAGAACATTAGTGCTTGCCGTCGTCTATAGATAGAATCAAATAAGAGAGTCCTAGCCCTATAAAGTATAGTATTTCTATATGTATGCGATCACATGTATGTACTATAAATACAGTTGGAAGGAATCGACCCCGACAAATCATCTCATAAGAAAAATGTTTAGGAAATCTTTGGGTCATAGGAATAGAAAAATCATAAAAAATGAGATGACATACATTTAAATCCTACATAGAAAGATATATCATTTGGTTTGTAAAATCTTACAAAATTCCTATAGATCAAACAAGGCCTTATCTGGGTGATGGTGACAGTGTGTTTGTAAACATTTCTGGTGAAATATCCTAGCATGCGAAAGGAGCAGTTTATCAGAAAAAAAAAAGAAAAAAAATCTCTCACTCTCAATAAGAGAAGCAGAAGTTTTTTTAAACCACAAGAAAGCGCACGCACTATTAAGCTCTACTCCACCGCGCCCACTCCTCAGCCCACGCTCGTACTCCCACACTCTCCTCCCCCCATTATCCCCCCCGCCGGCCACCGCGGCCGGCTCGCCGGGCGTCCGCCGAGAGGCGCCACGGGTGATGGGGCACGGAGCCAGCTGCGGCCGCCCCAGCGAGGAGGTGGACTTCTTCGGCGCGGCACAGTCCGGCGACCTCGCCCGCCTCTCCGCCGCCGTCAGCTCCCGCCCCTCCCTCCTCCGCCGCACCACGCTCTTCGACCGCCTCTCCCTCCTCCGCCGCACCACGCTCTTCGACCGCCTCTCCGCGCTCCACATCGCCGCCGCCCACGGCCACCTCCAAGTACGGTTCCCCTTACTGCTGTGTGCTCCTCCCCGTCCAGCTTCTCGCCACCCCTGTGTATCTCCGGTGTGCTGATTCCTTTGTTTGCTTAGGTGGTCTCCATGGCATTGGATCTTTGCGTGGAGCCGGACGCCGTGAACCGCCACAAGCAGGTTCGTCACGCTTCCCCTCTTCTCTTCTCCATCGCCCCCCTTTGTGGAAAGCTTGTCCTCACATCGCGGGACTTTGCCGCAGACGGCGCTGATGCTCGCGGCGATGCACGGGAGGACCGAGTGCGTGCGGCGGTTGCTCGACGCCGGCGCCAATGTGAGACTTACGGCCACAGTTTTGGTGATTGGGACTGTTCTTGGAGCTTCTCCTGAACCTAATGGCGTTTTCCGTCTGTGTGTACAGATCCTGATGTTCGATTCGTCGCACGGGCGGACGTGCCTGCACTACGCGGCGTACTACGGCCACTCAGACTGCCTCCGGGCCATCCTGACGGCGGCGCGGACCGCGCCGGTGTCGCAATCCTGGTTGGCCCTTCTTCTCAGAGCCGCCATTGCTCGCCGCAAACGCGCTGCGGCAGCCGCGCGCTAGCCTTTGCTAATGAGTCATCAGCCGTGGTTTTGGAGGTGCAGGGGATACGCGCGGTTCGTGAATGTGCGGGACGACACCGGAGCGACGCCGTTGCACCTGGCGGCGAGGCAGGGCTGGCGCCGCTGCGTCCACGTCCTGCTGGAGAACGGCGCCATCGTGTCCGCCTCCAGCGGCGCCTTCGGGTAAAACTTCTCCCCAAGTCAAAGACCGCCCTTCTCAGTACCCACCAAAATCGCATCTTTTTAGGAAGGCAAAAGCCGCGACATTGACGCGAGCGCTCGCGTTCCTGCAGATTCCCCGGGAGCACGCCGCTGCATTTGGCCGCGCGCGGCGGGAGCCTCGACTGCGTTCGCCAGCTGCTCTCCTGGGGCGCCGACCGCCTCCAGCGCGACTCCGTCGGGTGCGTCAGCAATTTCTTGCAAAAACATCACTGAATTCCAACACCACAATTACATATGTTGTCTCCAGCAAATGATCTGAAGCCATTGTGCTGGTTAGTCTAATCTACTGTTGTGGATTGGCTTCTACAGGAGAATTCCATATGAGGTGGCGGTGAAGCGAGGGCATGTGGCGTGCGCGGCGCTGCTGAACCCGTCATCGGCAGAGCCCCTAGTGTGGCCTTCGCCTCTCAAGTTCATCAGCGAGCTGGAGCCTGACGCCAAGGCTCTCCTGGAGGCAGCCCTGATGGAGGCCAATCGGGAGAGGGAGAAGAGGATCCTCAAAGGGGCCAAGAATTCATTGCCATCGCCGTCGCGTTCAGATGACGGTGCCACCGTCTCCGAGGTACTACCGTACTGACCGGTCTTGCCTTGCAAATTACTACTGCTAGTACTTCCATTGCTGACCTCACACGCACGAAATAATTCAACCTAACAGTGGGAGCTTCGCCGTACCGAGCTGCCATCGTTTCTTTCTTTCATTGGCACGCACAATAGTAATTTACTTACTTACCAACAAGTAGGCAGTACTTGTTTTGATCGCTCTCAATCAAAGATTGGTTTTCAAGGCTAGCATTATCCCAGAGCTCATCATTGCATTGCTTGTAGGAGTAGCTAACGTGCCGTCAGGTCTCAGCATGGAGCCACTTGCCCCAGAAATGTACCACACCAGGAGTATAATATTGAGTGTGTTGATCCGAGGGACGAATGGCTAACTAATTGGGTGCAGGCGTACGCACTTCTGCTAGTTTAATCCTTCTTGTTGGTAATGACAAGTTAGGTGTCAAACCGTGGCAGTGGCAGTGGCAGCGTGTGCACGCACCTGCTCGCACGAATTGCCGCACGTCTGAGCGATCCATATGCACGAAACATTATTCAAACGCGATCGTAGTACGCCTCCACATGCACGATCCCGCCTCTGCGTCGACATCTCCCTCGGAGCCGGCGCGTCCGTCCGACGGTGCGGATCTTGTTCGGACTGATATTATGATACTAACTCTAGGTCGTGCAGGGCGGCGAGGTGTGCAGCATCTGCTTCGACCAGGCGTGCGCGATCGAGGTCCGGGAGTGCGGGCACCAGATGTGCGCGGCGTGCACGCTGGCGCTCTGCTGCCACGCCAAGCCCAACCCGGCCACGCAGAGCCAGCCGCTGCCCACATGCCCCTTCTGCCGCGGCGGCATCACCCGGCTGGCGGTGGCCACCAGGGCCAAGGCCGGCGACGACGACGACGAGGAGGAAGGAGCAGAAGGCAGGCTGGAGTCTCCGCGGCACCGGCGGTCTCGCCGGTCCCTGAACCTCAGCGGCGGCGGCGACGGGGGCAGCAGCAGCAGCAGCCTCATGGGCAGCATCGCCTCGTCCATCGGCAAGATGGGCCGGCGCAAAACCGACAGCAGCGAGCTGCAGGTGCAGCTCGACGACAAGCCATAGCCATGGAATGAATGCCCATTCATTCATCACCGTGTCATGATACGTCATCGTCAATGATGGAGCTGGCTGCTACTATTTTGTAGATTATTTTTCTTATAATTTTGGGGAGATTGGCAATTGTTCCATCTGTGTAGCTTCGATCCCAAGCTGTAAGCTAGATCCAGTCAGTCCAAATAAGCAAGAGTGCGGTCGTTGCCCGGTAGCCCCCATCCACACCCCCCGTAGAGTTGTTGAAAGGTTGTATATGTCCGGATTCAGAGGGGCTGGCCCGATATGATGATAATGAGAACCCAGTACAAAACCATCCATGTGCTCTCCCTCCATGTAATTTGGCCTCTGGCTCGGGCTACGTCGCTCAGGTGTTCCCTTCCTTCAGGGTTTGGTTCTGCAAGTGTTATTTTGGGGTCCGGTTGTGCTTTCTGAATCTGATGATGGCGAACCGTGCTTAGGATTCCTTGAGCGGCAGTACAGACTGGGGACAGTGTTTTTTGGCAAGTTTCCCTTTGGCTCAGCTCGGCTGTGCTGAGGTGGCGAAAGCACCACACCTTCATGGGCTGTCTTGTCCCCAGTCAGCATGTGTTATTTCGCACTTATGCTCAACGGGGATGGGTGGGGTGTACCGGGAGCAGCAAAAGGCCTAGCGAAAACGAAATGAGCAGCGAAATTGACTGAGCAGCAGGAGATGGGTGGAGTGTGTACCACAGGCAGGCACAAGCAGCTTGGCAGGGGTTAAACCGCAGTGTGAAGTGTAGAGTGTAGAAGGATGGCTCAGTTCGACTGGGCAAAGCATGTTTCAGAAGAACAGCGGCAGACAGTGACACTGGGTCACTGGATCTTGCTTACTAGTAGTACTACGTGACCTGACACTTGGACGAGGGCTGAAGTTTCAGAAAGCACAAGAGAATCGACTTGACATCACGTCCTCAGGCTCAGAGCCAGGGGCGCCGAAACGTCTTTTTGCCAGAAATGCGAGGATGTATGTCGAGCCAGGTGCACAAGGATTAGATACTGTTACACTGAGAGCATGTACAATGATGACATATGATTACATATGCCTCGTGAAGTGGTCCTATTTGAATACTCTAACACAGATAGAGTTAGAGTTATTCTTTAACCCACTCTAACCCAAATAAGCACCTCTCCACCGGGATAGTTGGGTTGGATGAAACCCTCTTTGTTTGGATACTTTTGGGTTATTTGAGCTTCCAACTAACCCAAATTAGCTCTAACCCCATGATCCAAACAGGGCCAAAAAGTAATTTGAGGGATCTAAATTTATTTTTTCTCACCAATGCAAGCTACCATTGGTGGACCTCATTAAAAATAGAAAATAAAGACTCTAGTACATATACATCTCTATTTTTTACTTCAACCTTTTCAGCTTTTGTCATCGGACCACACTTTCTCTTTAAGCACCCGCCTCCTGAAAAGAATCCCGCTTTCCTATCCAAACCTACTTTACGTCATATCCGATCCTACATGGCATGCGAGACATCATCTTAAGGCTATGCATTATACATGACCTGAGTCACTGTCCATGGTCCAGAGATCACAGGTAATCCCTACTTTTCTTCCGTTGCAAGTATCTTTTCTGAATGGGTGCCGAGAATCAGGATCAAAAGCAATTCAATTGAACATACTTTTATGCATGTCGAGAGTAAGTATTCAACCTGTGAAAGTCAAGCCAAGTCATTTTCAGACCTGTATGGTTGCATGCGAGCCTTGGTGTGCGTGCTGCTAGTCTGCTACCGACCGGGCAAGTGCTGCCACAAATACTGACGGGATCATGGCGCCCCAGGAAAACTTGTCCAGCAAGATTGACCCGCTACAGCGCCTGATCGCTTGCAGCTGTAGATGATAGGTCACGTTCAAGATCTGCGGCCATATCGGTGCACGATTTCATGCAACTTAAAAAATGGATGGTTTTTGGCTCTTCATTTGCTCTGCGAACTAGTAAAAGCTATTGGAATTGGTGGCACTACTTCAGGGCATCTCCAACCCTGACCGGCAAAGTTGCTCGGGCATCTGTCCACAAAGAAAGATCAGTACGTGAACATTGATAGAGAAGACCGCCGTCCATTGGTCGCATGCATTATTTTGATGATGAAGCCGGGGGACAACCTCTTTTAAAAAAAGAAGACCGTCATCCAACGTTGTCCGCATATATTTCAAATACTGTTTGAATTAACCGGACTGAATTTATGCAAACACGACTAATTTCATATAAACCAAATGAAATTCATTTTATTTTGGATAATTTTAATTAAAAATTATACCGGGCTAAGGTAAAACCACTCTATGGCCGGCGCCGGCGGGTATCCATTATCATTACACGGATACCCTTTACTAGTCTACGGCCGGGCACGACGGATCTTCATTGTCTTACCCATGTCCAGTAGCCCGCCCGCCGGGGTGCCGTGAGCCTGGAGGTATATGTTTCTACACAAAGGGCGGCTCGCTTTCCCATGTTCGGCAACGCCGCTCATCGGAGTGGAATCACCGCGATGTGCTACAGCTGGAGGGGAAGGGGAAGACTTTGGCCTGCGACCGGGTAAGACATCGACTGTGTACGTGGGCGTCGCCTCGGTGATGGCCTTCATGAGACCCAAGCGGCGGCGGCCTTCCATGTTCTACTTCTCCTCGGTGATGATGGTGACCGCGGACGTGCTGGCCACCGTTTCGTCCATCTCCGTGAAGCCGGCTTCTTTCTCCGTCAGTAGGGCGTGATTACGCGTACGTTGACGGCGGATGGCGCGGTTGTAGGCACGGGATGAGCGGTACGACACAACGTCGTCCACGGCAACCAGGATGCCCGTGCCGCCGCTCACCCCAGCGTGCCAGCCTGGAGCAACTCGCTACTCCTCGGCGAGCTGGCTTGCCGCGCCGCTTCAATGCCGGCAGTGAGAGGTCGTGTCCGTCTGCGCCGCCCTCCCATCCGGTCAAATCGCGGGCGTTAACGCCGACCATTGCATGCGCTGGGCCGACATGAATGCGACGTGACAAGAGGCGCGACCATTCGATGGAAAGCGTAGAGAAGAGAATGTTTTTTTGCTAGGCCAAGGCGGTCAGGAGCGAACGTGGCAGCGGTCCAAACACCCACAAAGCCCCCATAATTTATCTTCGGTTTACGGGAAAAGCACGTCCAGACCGTCCAGCGAATCGATACAGGTTCATGCTGGATGGAACAACATGTTCTTGGAGCGATCAAATGAAAAGAAGAGATGGATTATCAATTCTACGCTCTCAGAGCATCTATAGCTGGGCGCCCTAAAACCTCCTCAAGCGCTCGAGCGGCGCATCCGGTCACTAATCGGTCAGGAAATTTTGACCCAGACGAATGCCTCAAACGGGCGTCAAATGCCCTGGCTGACCAGCGCCTCTCATATTCAACCCAAATATGGGGCGGATATGGGAGCGACCGGGCGCGTCCACCACATCGGACCCAACCCACCCGACCCCACATATATGCCTCCCCATTCGTTCAGCGGACCAAACCCTAGCCACTTCATACTCTTCTCCCCTCCACTCCCTCTGTCATCCGAGCTCACCTTTGGTGATTTTCGGCCGTCTCCGGCATGGTGGGCAGCGGATCTGACTCTGACCAGTCCGGATTTGTAGACTGGGGTGCCATCTCGTGAGGGTTGGAGGAGGCAATGTCGGTCCACATTGCACTCCGCCGCTCCCGGGAGGACAGCGCCCGGCCGACGGACGGATCTGTCCGGCGCGACTCCATTGTGTCAGCTTAGCGAGCGCTCGGGTCTTCTGAGACTGGATCATCGCGGTCGCAGCAACCGGAAAATCTCTCCTTCCCCATCACCGGCCGGGCAGACTATGAGTCTCACCGGGAACGGGCAGCCCGCCGAGGGAAGGAGATGATAAGGGCCGCCGAGGCCCGTATCACGGCGGAAATGGCGGCGGCGGAGGCTGCTGATGCGGCGGCGCGGGCGGCCGCAGAGGAGTAAGCCATCCGCACACGCATTGTGAAGAAGCAACAGTGGAGGAACACGTGTGCCCTCGCCCAAGTGAAGAATTGGGCGGTCCGTGCCATGGCCGGACTGCCACCAAAGGTGGAGAAGGCGGATAATGACGTCGAGGATAGCTCCGACGATGAGCAGATCCGGCTCGATCCCTACCGCATTTTCGACCGGTCCTTCTGTGAGAAGGACGACAAGGGAGCCGGGAAAGGCAAGGGCAGCCGTGGATGATCTTCACCATAGCCAAACATGCCAAATTTTGATAGTCCGATGGCATGTTTAGTGTAGTGATGGAGTAGTCAAACGATGTGTGTGCATCGATGTAGTTGCATGAGTTTGTATGAATTTAAAATATAATAATTAAGGTGTTCGGATGTTGATTGCATTATTTGAGACCTGACCGATTAGTGTGCGCGGACGCGCCCAGATACGTTCGATGGCTTTTGAGTGCCCATCACGACTGTAGATGCTGTAAGGTTGTCTTGACGCCTGATATGCAAAGGACAAAGCGGCCTAGAAATTCATTTATCTACGGTTGCTGAGTTGCCGTGTCAGCGATCACCTTGAGCATGGTAGTGGTGCATAAGACTAGACACAATGGGTAGTAACATAGAGCAGTAACATGCCCATGTTTCTACTCTATGTTACTACCTTTATAGTGGAGAGTAATATATGTGTGGTAACATGCAACACTTTATTTATTATGCTATAGACTCATCTTGCCTTGATATGTGTGATGTTACTCATACTAGTAGTAACTAGCTATGTTACTACATGCCTCTCTTTCTTTATTTATTACTTGCCACATCATCTATTTTATCTAGTTATGTGTGATGTTACTATCTATGTTATTCCCACTGTGGGTAGTCTAATAAAGAGGCCAGAAGATAAACTGCAGATTAGGGGGTGTTTGTTTCCAGGGACTTTTTTGTGTAGGGACTAGAAAAAGTCCCTCTTAGACACTTTTTTACCAAACGGGAGGAACTTTTTAGGGACTAAACTATGCATTTGGGACTAAATGAAGAA